GTGAGATTAGGATTTTTGGGCAACTTGATCCTATTTTTATTACTTTTGTTTATGGGTGTAATACGGGTATGGATAGGCGTGAGCTTTGGCGGGCGTTTAGTGAATTTCATGTGTTTAATCAAAGGAAAGCATGGGTCGCGATGGGTGATTTTAATTCAATGCTTTTCCCTCATGATGGGTTGGGGGGTTCCTCTAGGTGAAATTCTGACATGGAGGAGTTTCATCTCTGTCTGGAAGAGGCAGAATTATTTGACATTTCGTATCAAGGTTGCCAATTTACTTGGATACAGAAACCTTCGGGGGGAGATGGTGTTATGCGCAAACTTGATCGTATCCTGGGCAATTCTGCTTTTATCACTAGATTTGGGGATGCTTCGGTATTCTTTGAACCGAGGGGGATATCTGATCACTCTCCGGGTATTCTTTCTTTTAAAGTTGGTAGACGTCTTCGCCAACGTGGCTTTAAGTTTGATAATTTTGTGACTTCTCATAAGGATTTCCTTGCTTCTGTGGAGGAGGTGTGGACGAAACCTCAGAGAGGATCTTATATGAAGAGGGTGCTTCGGAAATTGCAAGCTCTGAAGGTGGTTTGTCGGCGTCTATGAAATTCGTATGGCTGTTTGTATAAAAGGGTTGTTCAGTTAAAGACGGAACTTGATGTCGCTCAATTGGCTTGTGATCTAGATCCGTTTAATGACCTGCTGAAGGAGGACATTGCTCACCTCTTGTTAGCATATCAAAAAGCTAGAAATGACCAAGTGGAAATGGCTCGTCAGAAAGCGAAGATATCTTGGCTCAATGAAGGGGATGGTAACTCTAAATTCTTTTTTCATGCTATGAAAGAAAAGCGCAATCGGAGCCATATTGCTACTATAAGGGATTCTTCTGGTACAGTTTATGATCATAAGGAGGTATCTACAGAGTTCCTTACCCATTTTCAAAGTATTCTAGGTACCTCTAATGCTTTGGTTCCTCCCTCTATGGGGGATTGTGTGTTTGGTCATTCTTTATCGTTATCGGATTCTCTTCACTTAATCCGTCCTATTTCGGATATGGAAATAAAGGATGCTTTATTTGCCATTGGGAATGAAAAGGCACCTGGCCCTGATGGGTATTCTTCTAAATTCTTTAAAGCAACTTGGAATGTGGTTGGTAGGGAGGTTCTCATTGGGATACATAATTTTTTCTATTCTGGAACTTTGGAGTATCAGCTGAACCATACTCTTCTTTGTCTTGTGCCGAAGGTTCCTAATGCTTCTTGTGTTACTGATTATCGGCCAATTGCATGTTGTAATGTGTTGATGAAGTGTATTAGTAAGGTTATTGCCGACCGGATGAAAGGATCGCTGGATGTTCTTGTTAGCAAGGCCCAATCTGCGTTCATTCCTGGGTGCCAAATCACTGATAATATCTTAATGGCGCATGAACTGGTTGCTGGATATCAACGTTCTGAAGGGGAACCAAAATGTACTTTTAAGATTGATATTCGTAAGGCTTATGACACTGTTGATTGGCAGTTTCTTTTAGAAATGCTGAAGGGAATGGGTTTTCATCCTGTCATGATTAACTGGATCAAGACCCTGATCACTTCACCCTCTTATTATGTTTGTGTTAATGGACAGCCGGAGGTTTTTTTCATGGTAAACGGGGCCTTCGTCAAGGAGATCCTCTCTCCCCTTATCTGTTTACTGTTGTTATGGTGGATCTCTCAATGCTTCTTTCGAAGTGTATTAAGGAGGAGGCAAAATTTTTGTATCATCAAGGTTGTGCGGATATTAAGTTGACTCATCTATGCTTTGCTGATGATTTGTTTATTTTCTCAAAGGGGGACATTATTTCTGTGGAAGTCATCAAACGTGGCCTTCTTTTGTTTGAAGAACGTTCGGGATTGTCGCCAAGTCTGGAAAAAAGTGAGGTGTTTTTCGGGAATGTCGCAATGGAGGTTCAAACTCTTATACGTGATAGGTTATCCTTTCGGCCAGGGGTTTTCCCTATTCGGTACTTGGGAGTTCCTCTTTCTCCGGTTCGTCTGAAGGTACGTGATTTTAATCCCCTTGTGTTAAAGCTTAAATCTCGACTTTTAAACTGGAAGAATAAATTCCTCTCCTATGGAGGGCGTCGACAACTTATTCTCTCAGTGCTTCACTCAATGCAAACTTACTGGATGTCGGTATTTCTTGTACCGGCAACCACAATCCATGAAATTGAGCAGCTTTTTCGTAATTTCTTATGGAATAAAGCAGAGGGTCAGATGGGTAAATGTCGAGTTGCTTGGGATACAGTTTGCCTGCCTATTCAAGGTGGGGGTCTTGGTATGAAAAGACTCGACTTGGAATAGGTGTCTTCTATTTAAACATATTTGGGATATTCTAAAGGGCAGAAATACTATGTGGGTCGGTTGGATTCAGTCTCACTGTGTTCGGGGACGTAATTTCTGGGTTATTAAGAAGAGGAATGAGTGGTCGTGGATATTCTGGAGCCTTTTAGACTTAAGATCTCAGTGGCGGAGATTCTTTATCTACAATGTGGGAAATGGTTTATCTACGCATGCTTGGGAAGATACATGGAGCGAGTCGGGTCCTCTCACTCAATCCCTGTCTTATAGATTCATTAATGGCCAGGGATTTCACAATAACTCCACGGTATCTGATGTAATGCAACGATTTGGTACTAATTGGCCAGTGGATTGGATTCAACAATATCCTCAGCTGCAGAGTGTTCTGATTCCGTTTCCTAGTCCTGTGGAGGATAAGGTCAGATGGCTTGATAATAATCTTTCTCGGGTCGATTTTGAGGTAAAATTGGCTTGGAAAACTATCCAAGAGGTAAAGCCGGTGGTGCATTGGTATAAACTAGTTTGGAATAAAGCATACGTTCCTAAACATGCCCTTTGCATGTGGATGGCTTGTCAGAAGAAATTGCCAACTCAAGATCGTTTAAGTCAGTGGAAGCATGATCCGCCGGATTTAAAGTGTGTTTTGTAAATTAGTGATTGAAACGCATAATCACTTATTTTTCGAATGCAATTACTCAAGCAGTATTTGGGAAGCTATTAAAATGGAGGTGGGATTAACGAACTGTCCAAACAATTGGGAGGATATTCTTTACAAAGGGTCCACTCAAAATTGGAAATTTTGGTCTACGGTTCAAAAAATTGGTATATCGGCAACGATTTATAATCTCTGGAGGGAGCGGAATAGGAAGTTCTTTGACAATTTCAATCATTCGGGGGATAAAGTTATTGAGGATATCAAGATGTAGATTCTTCATTGGATGGAAGCTAATGCAGTCGAATGCTATTTGATTTCGTGGGTGGTGTGCCTTCTTGGTTTTGCTTTTTGGCTTATGGTTCTCTTATGTTTTGGTGTAATTCCCTTTGTCATTTTTGGCTTCTTATGACTTGGTTTGTGAGTCAAAKTTGYCGTAGTTTTTCTTGTTGATTGCTTTGTATTGGTTACGTTTTTTTTTACTGTCTTTATAAAATTGCCTGGGGAAACTCTTCCCCTTTCAGTAGGCTCAATTAGAATCAAATTGGAGAAATAAGCCCATTATACCCATTCTACCTCAATTACCCTGATTAACTTCTTATTAGACTTATTATGACCCATTTAGTACCACTGTAACTTAAATATGGCCTATCTGGTGTCATTTTGACCCAATTAGACTCTGTATGGGGGAGGCGTTTTCTCTCTAGGGTTTTAGCGTATTCGAAGATGATGAAGACGATGACCTTGTTTGGTGTTTGCTGATTTTGCTTTGCGCTTCTTCGTTTTCGTTGTTTATTGGTGAGTCTTACCGTTTGTCCTTCTTGCTTTTGTCTCATATGGCGGTTTGTTCTTGGATTAGGGTTTGGCGATATTTTGAGGATCTCTTTTCGTTTTTTCCCTTGCTTTACTCGTCGGTTTTAGCGATTCACTCTTTGAGGATCGTTTTGGGGTAGAGTTTCTTCTTTTCCGTTAGGAGGGTTGCGTACGGTTGTTGTGGCTAGGGTTTGGCCATTTTGCAAGTTGCCTTCGGCTACGATTGTGTGCTATAGGATTGGGCGCCGTTCTCTTTGCATGTTCTCCTTTTTTATCTAAGGTTTGAGCCGTAGTGTTCTTCTTCGCCTGCTGCTTGATTCCTTTTGGTTGTCGTGTTGCGTATTGAGTTGCTTGTGCTTTGCTTACGGTTTCTCGTGGCTAAGATTGGCCGCCTTGTGGGTTTTTTCACGGTTAGGGTTTGAAGCCGTGTAGTATTTTGCTCACGGAAAAGGCTTTCTCTTGGCCGTCGTTTTGCATGCTAGGGTTTACGGTCTCTATGTTGGCGTAGGGTTTTGATTGCTAGGGTTGTGCCGTTTCCTTTTCTTTTTCTTGGTGGTACGTGGTTTGGGTCCTCGTGATTTTGTTTTTTTGGTGATCTTTGGTTTGGAGTTTGATCTTTTGTGGCGTTTTCTTTAATTTTTGTTGAGATCTTCTGTGTGGGTTTTATCTAGTTTTCTTATTTCCTATGTCAAGTGTTTCTGTGGTCTTCGTTGCCTTTCTTGAGTTACTTAATAGAATATTCAGCACCTCCTTGTGGGGTCTTCGTTTATTTTATTGAGAACACACTTTAAGGGTTTCAGCACTGCGGCTTCTTGACTAGGGATAGGGGAATTAGGTATTTGTTTTGTCGTGTGGTAATGACGTTAGACTTTGCGGATGCAATTTTGGAGGATCCTTCTCCTAAGGATTTTGTTGAGGTCATTCTTGGAGAATCGGCTATTGGTGACTTGCATGGTACTCCTTTGCATGGGGGTGCAACGGAGGCGCGGTTGAAGGGGATTGGTGCAAATTTGGGTCCCGCTAAGAGGGTTTCGGTTTGGGAACGCACTATCACCTGTCGTTTTGGGGGATAGGTCTACAAACCATCAAAAGTCTTTTGCAGAAATTGTTGGGAGCACTTCAAATCAAGAACTGAAATACTACCCGGTTGAGAAGAATGTGAAACCGAGGATTCAATTTACTTTGGAAACTACAAGAGATATGGCTAAATCATTCCAGTCAGTTCTTTATAGTTACTTTTTGGGACCTCGTCTTCCATTTCCAATTGTCCTGCGTGCGGTTCAAAATGCTTGGGCCAAGTTTGGGCTTAAGGATGCAATGGTAAATGACCTTGGATACTTCTTCTTTCGATTTAATGATAATGGTGGTTGCAATCAAGTAGCTGAGTCGTCTCCCCTTATGATTCGTGGGAGGCCTCTTTTTGTCTCCACATGGGATCCTTCAAAGGGGCTTACTAAACCTGAGCATACCTCCTTTCCGTTATGGATTAAATTCTATAATATTCCTCTTGTTGCTTTTAATAGAGAGGGAATTAGCCGAATCGCTAGTGCTGTTGGAGTCCCTTTGCGTTTGGATGCTTGTACTGCTAGTACTTGTGATAAAGCATGGGGTCGTACTAATTTTGCAAAAGTTCTGGTGGATGTTTGGGCCGTGGGTGAAATTCAGAAGCAGATTGAAGTTGTCATTCCGAGGCTTTCTGGTGATGGTGAAGATGTGATAAAGATAGTTATGGAATATGATTGGGTGCCTTCTCAATGCTCGAAATGTAAAGTTTTCGGCCATAATCTAAATTCTTGTCTAAAAGTGGGTATTCAAAAACAAAAGGAGATTGTCAAGCCGTTGCATACTGATGGGTTTATAGAGAAAAAGCGCAAACAATGGAAGCCGAAACAGAGTTCAGGGTCTAGTAATGGTGTTCAGCCAACTTCTTCAGGTGAGCCCTCTAATTTTCACGAGGCGATAGTTGGAGTTGGTACTATAAAGCCGGTTTCTGATGAACCGTCGATATTGGGAGAGAATAGAAAGGATGAAGAGGTAGTTCAGTCGGTCGATCCTGATTTCTCAGATGGGCAACGTAAGGAAACTGATGAAAGTCAATATTGTATGGTGGATGCGGGGAGAATGCCAAGAGGAAGGGAGGATGTATCGAATGTGACTTTTCGCTCAAAGGCGGGTCCAGAACTTGTAAAAGCGGTGATTCAAGCGATGAAACCACGACGTGGTGCAGTGTCCTCTACGTCTACTAGTAATAGATTTTCCCCACTACCTTCTGATGATTCTAGTGATGATGATGATATGGAGATTATTGACACTGAGGGTCATTCTTTGGTCTTAATGCCCTAATAAAGCAAAAGGAGGTACGTGATCTTATTAATTTAAAGCATCTTTCTTTATGTTGCATCATTGAGTCCAAAATTGTAAACTGTCATATGGGGGATGTGTGTGGTAAAGTGTTTGGAAATTGGAGTTGGATTTCGAATGGTAGTTTGTGTGATCAAGGGACTCGTATTATAATTGCTTGGGATCCGACAGTGTTATCTGTTCTTATGATTGTGCAGCACCATCAATATGTCCACTGTGAAATTAGGATTTTTGGTCAACATGATCCTATTTTTATTACTTTTGTTTATGGGTGTAATACGGGTATGGATAGGCGTGAGCTTTGGCGGGCGTTTGGTGAATTTCATGTGTTTAATCAAAGGAAAGCATGGGTCGCGATGGGTGATTTTAATTTAATGCTTTTTCCTCATGATGGGTTGGAGGGTTCCTCTAGGAGAAATTCTGACATGGAGGAGTTTCATCTCTGTCTGGAAGAGGCAGAATTGTTTGACATTTCGTATCAAGGATGCCAATTTACTTGGATACGGAAACCTTCGGGGGGAGATGGTGTCAAACTTGATCGTATCCTGGGAAAGTCTGCTTTTATCACTAGATTTGGGGATGCTTCGGTTTTCTTTGAACCGAGGGGGATATCTGATCACTCTCCGGGTATTCTTTCTTTTAAAGTTGGTRGACGTCTTCGCCAGCGTGGCTTTAAGTTTGATAATTTTGTGACATCTCATAAGGATTTCCTTGCTTCTGTGGAGGAGGTGTGGACGAAACCTCAGAGAGGATCTTATATGAAGAGGG